AAAATGATTTTTTAAAGTTTTTTTTTCTCTTATTTTCATAAAAATTGCCATCATAAAATTCTGTAAGACCAGGAAAGAGAGTTGTGCTTATAGTCTTTCACCAAGTAAGATGAGGAAGCAGAGACAGCTGAATAGAAAGATAACAGGGAGGCTTAACGGGTCGTGGGGTCAAAGAAATGCCTCTGTTAATAAAACAGGAGGAGCTGCAGAGAGCAAGAGAAAAAAGTAACTGATTGGCAGTCAAATGATTTGGCTTCATTGTTACAGAGAGTCACAGGGGACATGAAAAGGCTTTATGAGCTTAATTAATATGACATTAATTTCTAAAATGATCTCCATGCTCCCACTGTGAAATGAGTACGGTAGATCAGCGATAGAAGCTGATGAAAACGTGTATTTTTGTTTGAGAGAGACCTGTTTTATTATTCACTTTCGCAGAATCTTACCAAGCAATCAGCCTGTGGACTTGTGACTTGTTATTGAGAACAGTGACCTGTATTAGCTTCGCCCTATGGCAGTATACCACCTAATGGACGCTCCTCTGATCTTGTTAGCTCCCTGCGGATGACACTAACTATCAAGCTGTCAGCAGTCATAAATAGACGATTGAGAGATGGAGAAGGGTTTCTTATAGCTGAGCTTTGTCAGGCACACTGGTACACAGGGAAGCTTTCCCTCATTAAAAGAACAGATAGTATAGTTTTAGAACAGTTGGGATTAAGATGCTATGGTGATTTAGAGCTTCAAAAAAGCCATAATATTCTTGTTTTGTCATTTTGTTTTGTGCTCTTGAATCTTTACTGTGCTGTAGTTGATGGTATATTTATTTTTGTTCCCATAGGTTCAAAACAGAGAAAGTGATCTCATCTTGCTGCTCTAAAATATTCAAATCAGCTTTTCTGACTGTATTACACCCGGCTCTTGACAAAAAACACAAGATTTTGTCGAGGAGATCAAAGCAAGATCATTTCTTACATTATTTAAGAGGTAACTAAGAATATAACTTTTTCTATTTTATAGTTGTTTATTTTAAGAGAGTAAATGTTTCACAAAAGCCTTATCAACTTCTTTCAAAATCAGGAGTAGAGACGGTTGGAGAGAAAACTCTACCAGAACAATTTATGAGATTTAACAAAATAAAAAAATAAAAAAACACAGAAGCAATGGTCCAGGACTGCTTTCTATGTCATAGAAAAAATATACTTTTATGGCAGCAATGGCTCTTTCAGTATTTTCATCTCAGAAAGAAACCCAGCAAAATAGTCATGTTTTAGTCTCCAAAAGTCCCCTGTAACTGCAGTAAAATTCAGTAAAATTGTTGCTGTTCTTTTAAAGAATAGTTTCTAGCGAAATATTGTGACAAAGTTAACAGCACATCAGCCCAATGAGAAGCTTTTGACTAGTTCCATTTCAAAACGTCTTTATTTTCTTTCAAAGATAACGGTCTCACACAGATACATGCAGTGTCCAACATGAAAACACTCAACCTCTTTCTGGAGCCCATAACAACGCCTTACGTCTATTTTACCAAACAGTCACATGCCGATAGCAACTGGACAGCACTTTGTGACACAAATCTCTCTTTGATGAGGAATATTCAGGCATTTTAACACTGCAAGATCCATTCTCTCTGAAGACAAGATTTTGTTGCAGTCATTTCAGTGTAATCTACCGTAAACAGCCAGATTTTCTGAAGCCTCCTTTGGCTGAGATGAGAACAGCCCTTGGAAGAACATTGCACACCTCAGATGCAGAGCAGCAGCAGAGAAACGGCCCTGTGAGGCCCACTTGGTGGTTTGTATTTCCCAAAACCTTAATTAAACACAGAATGTTGACTTTTATTATCTGCTCTATTTCACTGTATGTTTATATTACATGAATAAGTTGCTGAGGCAGTTTTTTAACTACACATTGTTTATCTCAACCCCAGGCAAAACAAGAGTGTGCTCAATAAAACCCATGCAAGCAGCCACTTGCAGAGGAGCCGCACGCAGACACTCTCACTAAACACACGCGCCTCATGCTGTTAACACCATCTTGTGTTTGACACTAGCTTTATACATATGCTAATTCACCTCCATTTCACCACCACTGTAATGGATGGGGTGAGACCAGCAATTAGATACTGGAGAGCACAAATGTGTCTGAGGGAAGCTGCAGAAGATGTGCAAATTGTTTTATTTATTGGGTATGATGCGAATTTCATTCAGAAATAAAACATCAGTCAAGCAGAAGCAAAACATCAGTTAAGCTTCAATAAATAAAAAAAAAAGATTTAATATAGAACAAAACTCAAACGATTGAAACAGGAGTTTCTGTCATTATAAGTATATTTCAACTTCTGTACGTTTCACATAAGTGGGAATAATAAGGTGCAGCTATAACCCCTCCTTGGTTTGTGTTTGTGAGGAGGGCAGCGTGCCTGTCCCTCTTTTAATTGGCATGGCTGGGTGCCAAACGATGGATGGATGGTTTGGTGGAGAGACTCAATGTGTCTGCTTCAGAGTTGATGGCGGCCATCTGCCGGTGCCACGGGCTATTCTCAAGGCTGTGTGTTTGTCCACAGATGTGTCCTCCTGCTTTGTGCTTTCTAGTGCGTTTATGCAGACATGCAGCTACTGCGGCAGCCAACCCTCAGAAACTTTGGAGCACAAATTAGTTTCATGATTGCAATGAAGCCTGGATTGCTCTCTGTGTGATTCTTTTTGTTTTGTTTTTTTTTTGTTTTTTTTTTTGTAATAGTGATTCAGCGGTAAGTGATCAAAACTGACAAGTTTCCCGTTTTCTTCTGCCAGTTGAAGAAAACAGCAGAAGATTGCTAACCTGAAGATCAAATACATCAAAACTAAAAACTTACACCTTTCAAAATCTGTAAATACATAAACAAACAATATGCTCTTTAAAGTACTTTTTCTGAGGATTAGTAAACATCGTAAAAAAGTTAGATACAATCTTTGACTCATTAATTGACAAATTCTTTGAGCTTGTTCCCTTTTGTGTCCAATATTTGTTACACTTAAACATTGAATTAAAACAAAATTTACACAAATGAGATTTTTTACGTTAAAGTACTTTGCAAGAAAATTAGAATCGACCAACATCTGGACTGGCAGCTCACATTTTAAAGAAAATAAACATTGTTTTTGCAAGTTAACGCCTTACTGAAGCATCTCTGTTTCCTAATGAGAACTTTTTAACACTAATATTCCCATACATGGATTTAAATGGTATTCTGCCTTAAATAGTTGCCGTTTATCATTATATTTTGCCTTTCAATAATTTTTTTTCTCATGACTCATGTATGACCAAAGACAATGGTTTACTTTATTCGGCAGTAAAATATGTTGACTGAAAAGATGGTTGTGAGACTACTTTACTCTTGACCAAACTTAACCAATTTTAAGTTTAGATGTAACTAATTAGCCAAATTATAATTATTTTACTAAAAGCTTTTGCCACTTTAAAATTTTAATGACCAGTAACCTATAGCTAACCTTTCCCGAGTCATTCTGTTGATATTTCAACACATTGTATACCAGTAAAAATGTCCCATTCAGAGGTGCAGCCTCAGTCACATCATCTGCCAACAATCTTTCTATTCTGATTAATTCTAAAAAAAAAAAATCTCTTTTGTTTGATAGTTTGGAGAATCTTTTGTCAGTTCAAACTGAGTCTGGAAGAAAGTTGACTATCTCAGGCCCACCCATGTGCTCCTTCAAAGCTCACACCCATTTTATCTGCCAAAAAATCTGTATCTGTCTTCTGGTTTTTGTGTGTTTCTTGGCCCAGGCTTCACTTTAAAGCCTCAGAATTATATTCACTGAAGGCTGTCTTTCGGCTTTCTTTACTCTGGCAATTCCTCTCAGCACTTAACACCTTCTGTTCACACCGAGTTGGTCGCAGCTCTGGAATATAGTGGAGCTGGAGAATTATCCCTCCCTCTGAGCTTTAAGTATTGTAAGGATTTTACGTTTTGCTCGTTTCTTTCCACACCTTTGTGAAATGTATTGCCTTTTTGGGCTTTTCTGTTTCAGTACATTTCTGACTTTGTTAGAAGACCAGAATTCCTTTCGTCCAAATGTGACATCACACATTTATATCAAATAAATTACTATTTATTTATTTTTTTTATGAATGTTGATGATTAGCTTAAATTAGAAAATGAAAATGCTGTGTTTTTTTAGTCACTTGAGCCAAAGTTGTCCCCATATGTAAGGCGATTTAGACACAAAATAAAACAGTACATACTCCAACAGTGATAAGATATGTGAAAATGTTCATGTGGTCTATAACTGATATTTGTTAGCTGTGTTTAAAATAGTGCTCTGGAAAAAAATATTAACAGTTTTTTGTGCATTTTGTCCACATTTAAACCACAAAATCCTATATATTTTATTGAGCTTTAATTTGATAGACCAACCCAAAGTAGAGTACATTTGTGACATTTGTGACATTTCTTATTCTGATGTCCCAAAACCAAATTCAGTAGAACTAATCGCCTTCACCTAATAAGTAAAAATCACCAATTTTTCACCAATCACCAAAAAATATCTAATGCATATTTCAAAATTAATATAAGGATGGTTGATAGTTTTAGTTTATTCTATCTGAAACACTCTTATTATCCATTATAATAATAGTCGTTACGATAATTCATAAAAAAAGTCAGATAACTAAAAGTTATTAGATTATACGTACCTACCTTTATGTGTTTGTTAACAGATTACACAGAATCAAAAATTACATCCAGGCAGGAGAAATGGCTATGAAAATCCTCAGAGGTGTGTTTGAGAACTTTAACGTGCAAACAAATCAAACTTTGAACATCTCACAAAGCACTATTCAGTCCAGAGGTCTGTTTTTAAAAGAAGTACTTGAAATATTTTCATAAGCCATGTAGAGTAGTCCTATATTGGATTGTCTTTCTTTGGGAATCATGCAGGTTTCTAACTGTCAGCTCTATGTAGAGTAACCTTTCTCATTTCTGTGTGTGTTCACAGCTCCTGGGCTTCGTGTACGCCTGCTATGTTGTCAGTGCCATCACTGAGGAGGAGGACAGTTGTGAGTGACACACACACATACACATGCATACATGCAAAAGGAATTTTGCAGCATAAAACGTGATCACACCCAGATTCAGCCCCAGACACAATAAACGCCAAAGCTTAAAACAGTTGAGTTGTATCTTCCTCACCCATTTCCAGTCACACCCCTCTGTCTCACAGCTTCAGGTTCTCCCTGTCACTCCCTTCTTTCCTCCCCCACACCAGCTGAGGCCTCTCACTCCTTTTTCCTTCAGTACTAAAGAGTGCATTTGTCACTTCTCAATCCTTCCATAAGCTTAGTCTGTCTCTTTTTTTTTCAGATCAGTTTCAGTTTCACGCGTGCAGTTATTGCTTTGCCTGTCTGCCTCATGTCTTTGTTACTTTGGGTACATTTGAGTCTTAAATTAGGATTTTTTTTGTCTCTTTTCCCCCCATGTGCCCTTGTTTTTTCGCTCCAGCTTTTTGAGGACTAAGCAGATCTGTTGTTGTGTATTTGTAGGTGCCTCGACTACACCTCATGCGTGGTCATGCGTGTGACCACCTTTGATCACACGCATACACTTTCCTCTTGCTAGATCTATGTCTTCGACCTGAAGTTCTCACCATGCAGAACAATCTCCTTTTGTATTTCAAATATTGGATCAGTCTTATTCTTGCCCTGTCATGCAGTAACAGGCAGAAAGAACGAGGGAAGGGTGTGGGAAATGATGAGGAGGTGGCACTAAATAAGTCATGGGAAGATTGGGAACCAGAGATGGAAGCTTGTCATAAATTGCCAAGCTACTGTGACCTTACAGAAAGCGGGTCAGGGGTCCTGCCTGAGGTTAGTCGATCATAGGTCAGGAAACATTTGATCTTGGGACCAGTGGTGGTCATAAATAGCTGATTTGTTCCAGGCTGCACCAGGCTGCATTTTTCTCACAAATAAGAACCTGCTTTTAGAGATGTTTTGGAAATGGGCATGGAGAAGAAGGTTGTGGGTGTAAAGTAATTGAATAAACAAGGTCTATGGCGCTGATTTATGAGGATTTGTTAGGATTGTTTCAATCATTGTTTGACTTGAGCTGTTGCTGATTCAGTTGACTCGATGCAGTTCACTGATTTTATAGCCTTTTGGCATTTCCTAACTGCGGAAACAATTTATTTGAACTGGATTATTGTTGACCTGAATTTGCATTTCATAGTTTTGTTTCTTTATTAAATAGCTTATACTGTTTTTTGAAAACAAAATGAAAATAAAAATAAAAAACTAATCCAAAATGGCTTGAATTGTGTCAGAAGTGACTTTATATATTCCTTCAAAAAATGAAAAAATAAGGTTTGGTGTGGAAAGGTGGAAAAAGTTAGAAAGTAGCCAATGAGAATGGTTCTTATACTAAGTATCCCAATAATGTAGTTAAGAGTTGACACTAGAAAGAAAGAAAATAGTGAATGGTATCATTCACTATTTGATACAATTGACAACACTTTTTTCTAAGGATATGGAGCAAAAATGAACAGGGAGGACATGATAAATTTGGAGCAGGAACCAGGCCATGGTGTCATCTAAAATGTTCCAGTGAAGTCTGAAAAATTCCTCCATAGCGTCATAATTAGTCAGCTAAATCTGCTTAGTTGACTAAAATTACTTCAAACGGATAAATTGTTCCTAGAACTAAATTGCGTTTTTGATCAAAACACTGTCTAAAACTAAATTAAAAACAGAAGTTGAGGTGCAACTTCATGGACATGATCATGAACACAAAACCAGAACTTCAGTGGAATGTTTATATCAAAATGCATTCAGGTATCAGAATGGCTCAGTTAAAATCCAGACTCAATTGAGAATCTGTGGCAAGACTGAAAAATGGATGTTCGCTGATTGAGCTTGAGATATTTATTGAAGAAGAGTCGACAAAAAATTCAGTCTCAGCCACAGAATTTCAGCCATAAAATTAGTAAAAATAAAAAAAAAGAAAACAAAAAACTATTTTGTCTTTCAAATTCACAATTTTGTACAATTTATGTTGGTGTGTAACAAAATCCCAATAAAAACACCAGAGTTTATGGTTGTAATGTGACAAACAGGAAAACTTTACAAGGTATGAATAACATTTTGATCTCGCAAATGAACTGAACTTCTCCGAATTAAAGTCTTTATGTGCTAAAACAGAAAACTCTAGTAATATGAAGAACCCTGATGTGGTTTTAGTGTGTGACATGCAGACCAGTGTTACAAGCTGTTCAGCGGTGGTCACATTCCAGAAACCCACAGGCTGTGAGTGGTTAGTATCACCACCCAGCTGCCCCGCCCCTCCACTGTGGGAAATGCCATTTAATCACCAGTCACCCCTAAATAATCTTTCCACAGCAATGCAGCTTTAGTTAACAGAGAGAAACAAAAAAAAAAGCTTCCAGTACAAAAACTTCTCCTTGTCTCTTTTTAAACAGCACTCAACAGAGTGCTGTTTACTTGGTTTTGTTGAAAATCGTATCCGCTCCTAAAAACAGGAACAAAAATAACAAGGAAGTGACAACAAATAGCTCAGAGTTTAGAAAAAAAAAAACATGGAGTGATTTTTATTAGTTTTAATTATCCCGCAGTTGTTCTCTGATCTAGGCTTTGTCAAAGTGAAAGGCTGCAGCATTGCTTCCCAGCTCTTTGTCATTGTAATCAGCCCTTTGCCTGTGTGTACACAACGGTTTTTGCTCACACAGACACAGGTGCACAACACACACAGCACAAAGACCAGCTCTTGCACTTTTCTGCTCTCTTTTTCTCTTCGTATTTGATGTGCACATTAAAGCAAATCTCCTCACTGTGCTCGCTGACTGCCTCGGCATCTCTTCTCCACCTCTGTGCGCCGCTCCCTCGTTTGTGTCAGTTCCAATTCCTGAGTGCTTCACAGGTAGATGCAATATCCTCATGTCTAAATCTAATTCTGGTTTGTTTAAGGAGCCCGTTTCTCTCAGCCTGTTTTTCAATCTCACTCTTCCAATCCTTAATGAGGTGCGCTTGTACAAAGTTGCCGGTCTCTGGTCACTTGTTATATCAGCCTTATTAAGCACCTCGCCAGTCGATAAATCCCACAGCTGATTGCACCCAATTGAGGCAAAGGAAGACAGGAAGAATCCCCTGGAAAACAGAAAATAAATGGAAGGATGAAAGGAGGAGTGCATGAGAGGAGCTGAGGGAGGTGTTTAGCAGGAACGAGAAAAAGGAGATGAGGCAACATTCAGCAAAAAAAAAAAAATAAAACAGTAGAGAGAAACAGAAAACAAGATGAGCTTGTCACAAAAAAGGAGATAAAACAGGAATTCTTCTCATGCTGTACACTCTCCAGGGAGAGGACAGAGTTATATCTGAGTGCTCAGACTTGGGTAAAAAGACGCAATGAAACACACTGTGCAATAATAAGCATCATATACCATCAGCTGAGGGCTTAACCAGACTTTCAAACTTTATTAATAATAATAAGGGTGTGAGTGTGTTTGTGATGTCTCAAACTCTCTTCCCTCACAACTTGGAGAGAGGCAGCATATCTGCACTCACTCATACTGGTGTTCTGCTTGTATTCCTGTATGTTTAGCTGACTGTTGCCGGTTGGCTGATTTGTTGAGCATTTCTATATATGAATTTGTTCTCCAGCTATCAGCGGCATGCAGACACACCGGCAGAGTGAGTAGTGGGTAAAATCCTCTTTGCAAAGTAGGTCATGGAGTTAGCTGCCTAGTGCTGGGATAAGCTCACTTCATCTCGTCTTCTAATTATGATGCCGCCCTTCATGCTGAGTCACATCAGCAGCAGACCATGGATGGATGGATGGGTGGATGGCTTAGTAGTTTTTTTAAGCTAAGTCAGGGTAAAAAAAGTCAAATTTTGAAGGTTTTTGCACTATAATGTTCCAAATATTTACAGCATGAAATTGTTTTTCATTGTTTTCTTAATGAGCAATAACAAAAAAGTATTAATTTGACAAGTTGATTCACAAGTAAGCTAGAAAGCATTAAGATGTGTTTTTTGAGGAACCTCTATTTCTCCCAGATGAAAAGATACAATTTAAATACATGTTCTTTACACAGAAACACACTTTCCAACTTTAAGAAACTCACAAGGTTGAAAGAACTATGATGGATTATTTCTGCCAGAATTTTAATTAAACTTAGACACAAATACTTGCACAACATCCACTTTATTAAGTGCATTGTTCAAATCCTCCTTCACAAAAAATGGGTAGTCAATAAATCTAATGACAGCAATTCAATTCATTCATGGCATTGGAAAGACAACTTAATTCACACTGAGTGTCAGAATGGGGATGAGTTTTAAATTACTTTAAACTTGGGATAGTTGTTGATCAGCAGTTTTACAAAACTGCTGATTTTCTGAGCTCCAAGCGTCCATTTCATGAGTTTACAGATAAGGCTCTGAAACAGATATCGAAGTTTGAAACAGATGGGCTAACCACCTGACCAGGCTGCACCACAGCAGACAACTGCATGTGTCTTCAAGTGAGATTTCTACCTAAAATAGCTTGACTTTTTCCTAAAGCCTCTCAGTTGACAGGAATTGTCCACCTCCGAACGGAGCACAAGGACACCACATTGAGCTCTTTGGAAAACAAACCATTTACTTTATTTTCCAAATGTCATCAAACTGGTGTCAAGATGTGGCATCTAAATGCACGTGTGTTATTGGTCAACAAACAGCTTTAAATGCAGCAGTATGAAACATTTTGCAAATGAAAACAGTGATGCACAAATGAGCTTGTGAAAAGCAGTAAATCCTCATTAGAGGGGAAACTATACACTAGAAGGCAGCCATACTGAAATAGTTGAAGCTGCTGAAGAGCTGGCAGTTATATTTAAAAACTAAGAGAAGACCAGTTGTTTGCCGACCACTTAAAATAAATGCCGGCTTCTGCCAAGGTAGCGAGTACAGAGAATGGCTGCTTCCAGATTTGCTGGCTAGCCATTTCTGCAGATGCACAAAGAAACAGAGGTGCTTCTGCAAGTAAAAGATATTATAAATAAAAAAAGAAGCAGCAGCTGGTGTGGAACAGAAATACAAATAACTCTCACAGAAGACAGTTTTATTGCTGAAGAGTTATAAAATGTCTGAGTGTCGGTAGGCAGCAATAACGCATCATGGAGATTCATTTCAAGTTTGGGGATGAATTTATGCAAATTTAGTTGGAAATGTAGTATGGATCAGTAGTCTCTGTAATGCTGAGTGGAGTCTGGTCCATCAAGCAGTCGTGCAAGGAGAGCATCTGATAAATGTTGAAGCAGACCCAATCATACACCCCCCCCCCTCCCCCAAAAAAAAAATTAAATACTTTGTTCAACCTCAGGTAAAACACAAGTTCACCAAAAATATAAAACATTCAAGCCATCATTCATGGAAGTAACTTTTTATGCTTTCTTTGATAATTAACTTCAAACAAACAAACTCATCACATCAAGTCTCATGCAAATATAACAAAACTGCTAAGCTGGTCGTTACAGTAAATTTATAGCAGTAATGGTTGTGTAGTGGTGTGTGGACAGTGACAGATGGAGATCCAGTGTAACAGACAGGCTTTGAAGTACTGACCTTATCCGTCTGGTCTTTATCTGACTGTCTGTTTTAGTCTCTGCTGTCCCTACACGTTTTTCTTGATCTTCTCCACACTTTGCCTTTTTCCCACCAGCCCCACTTTTATTCTCTTGCTTTTTTATCTCATTTTCTCTTTGAATTCAGGACGAATCACCAAACATTTTACACACTTGTCAGGAGATTTCAGAAGTTTTCATTTGAACTGAAACATTTCCGTCTTACGTTACATCCTGACCTGCATTTCTGACCTGCATACCTATCAATTCTTGGATATGCCTGAAAAAAATTTTCTTGCCCTATTAAGAAAAAAAAAACAGAAAAGAAATACTCATCTGACAATCATCTGTAAATACTAATGCTGAAAAGTCATGTTGACATTTTTGGCAACAAGGTTAACGCTCCTAGAACTTATAATAACAAAAGTGCTTCAATAAGGATTAAGATCCCTTTACACAGATTTCTTCATTCTGAACATTGCGTAAAATGAATACATGTTTCATGTCCATACTTTTCATATCCAAGTGCGAATGTGAGATAGGACAGAGACACTGTCTTCTGTGTCCAGAAGACAGAGTTCAAGACAGAACTAGAAGGCAAACTATATGGTGATTAGAGTATCCATATAACAGCTGTTGTTATTCTCAGCTGATGGTGCCTTTATGTATTTTTCAGGTTGGTTGTCCTTCTTAATGATGATTCAATGGAGCAGAATAAATAATGAACAATGGCTATTTTTTTTTTCAAAACAGTGGACTTTGACAACATACTGTTCTATGCAGGAGGGACGATGATGTTCCTGTTAATTGTGTTTGAACAAAATGTTCAGAAAAAGTTGTCTTGCTTCTTCATAGCAATAGCTGTTTGATTTTGGCAGTGTGAAGCTCAGTTACTAGTGTTTCAGGTACATTCTGTTCAGCACAGCAACAGGCTGGCAGCTGTCTGAGAAACGGAAGACAGAAGCATCCAAGACTGTCTTTTTCACTTTGCTTCTCACCACAGAGGTGAGAAACCATCACAACATAGCTAACATAGCTAATTCTGTTGAGCAGCTTTGATGTCACGGACAATTCAGCACTCACCTGTATTCAGGTGAGTGCTGAATTTTCTGATTGAGCCTCATAATGCTTTGTTTTCTCCAAGGTTTGCTCAGAACCAAAGGAAAACACAAGTGAAAAGAAGGAAGAACATGTGTTTCATATTTCTTAAAATCATAAATATCGCTTTCTTCTTCTGCTTGTGATCTGAGCCTAGCACTTTCTTTACCAGCTGTGAGTTTAAGCCATCTTTTGAGTGGATATGCACCGTCATAAAAATTTGGGCTGCATGCAATGTTCACAAAGAATCCTGGTGGAAAGAGAAAGCTTACAAATAATAGGATCTGTATCATACAGACTTTGTGGTGAAACAAATAGTAAAATGGACTGACAGACATAAATTAGACTTAGGTTGTTGGGAAAAATATGAGTAGCACCAGATCCTAAGGATCTCATGTTCATATTCAATGCATCCAATAATTCTGTCTGAACTACACTCTTTGTCTGACTGATGAATATGTTAACCTGACCAGGAAGTCCCAAGAGGTGTTATTGTGTCTAAAAATGGCAATATAATTATCAGTTAACTATATTGCACAGCATAGTTCATCATAGTGGGGGGTAGGTCCCCACCCACTTATAATGAGAAAGCTATTTGTGTAGAAATACCAGGGGAGACGTGCGCTTGTGGCAGGTGTGTGTGTATCTGGTTTGCAGATGAAATGGTAAATCCCTGGGAAGCAGGGCAGGGTCACAGGAAAAGCATAGGCCAGCATAACCCCAACCGGGCCCCTAGTTCCCACCCTGACCACCTATCAGCGTCCAGCAGACCACATCGGTCTCCACTTAGCAGGATAGGGCCAATTCCCAGTATGTTTTCCCATGTGCGCTTTTCCTTAGCAGCTGTTCATTTGTGGAGTGTAACAGATCTTTCCATTTCTCCTCTTTTATTAGAGCACTGTTTGTTTGGTGCCTTTCTGAACTGAGTCAAATTCTGCTTCAGTTTCTCCCCCTGCAGTTTACACACGACTCACAGTTCCTGGACATGCTGTCCTCTTTTACACGCACTCCCTTAACTTAATCTTCTCAGCTCCTGTCAGTCAGACCGACAGGCGTGACGCACCCCTGCCTCCGCTTTCTTTCCTCTGCCATTGTAACCGGTCTTGAGGGTTTTCTTTTTTTTTCCTACCATCTCAAGACTGTTTCTTCTTATTGGTGAAAGGTTCACCGCACTTTGCAACAAGCATGTTCTTTTGTTCCTTGCATTACATGGCAATCGCCAGTTGATCTACAATCTGAACTCTTTAAAGGGAGGATAAGCAAAAAACAGCTATTTATTTGGTGGCTGAAGGCTGCTTCTGTTTCTATGTGATAAAAAGGATGAGGCTATTTTAACAGTTGGCAAGCTTTCACCTGTTCCTAAGCTTTCCCCTTGGCCGCAGGCAGATGCACAGATTAAAAAAAGTTTCAGCAAGATGTTTGTTTTTTTTTTATTTCTAACTTGGTCAAAGATAAAATAACTAGGAAGCTTTTCTCTTAAAATATCTCCAATGGATCCATTTTCTTTTACATTTTATTCCATATTTATATAGCGACTTATTTATTTTATTTTTTACTTTTGTCATCCGTGACGTTTTGTTACCTTGATGTGCTTTTATTTTGTTTTCTGTCATTTCATGTTGTTCTGTCTTTTTTGTTTGCTCCATAAATCATGTGTTTGATCTTTTATTTTCAGTTGATTTTATTGGTGGATTTGATCCATTCCCACTCTACCATGTCAATGAAAAATCATCTCATCTCCTGTTAAAGCCCATGCACCTGTAAGTATGTCACCCAAAAGGCATTGCCTCTACATCTGCGATGTCTACAACTTAACTGTTCACGCCAATAATACTATGTTTTGTAGTACTCTATGCAACGCCCTACCATGGCGCAGTTTGGACTTGACTAAGTGTGTGTGTGTGTCCATGTCACTAGCAGCTAAGAGAAGCACATTAACCACATACACATTTCTGTCCAAAAACTGGATTAATCAATTAAATGTTGCAAAGAAGTTCATGACAATAAGCCACAGAATTCATGTAATAATTCTCAGCCAACATGAGATGAATATTTAATGAGCTTCCTGACAGTTTAATCAACTCCGTCTCTAATGGGAGGGAGGACGTTTTCCTCTCTCCAATCTACAGGGAGTTATGTTCTGAATGAATTCATCCAGGGCTGGTTTTGCACACACATACATACGTGTGCATGTGTGTGTGTTCGTGTGTGTGCGTGTGTGTGTGTGTGTGTGTGTGTGGGGGGGGGGGGGTTGTGCATGCATGTGTGTAAGTAGGATCCCCCCAGAAGTGCTAATCCTCTTTTCCTTCTTTCCATGTTTCCTGCTCTTCTAGGTCTACGTAAATAGGAAAGGCATCCACCAAGGGAGGTGATACAGCAAATTCCCATGGAGCCAAAATGGCTGATTTCTCACACACACACTCACACACACATCCCACAGCTTCTCATAGCACCAGACGTCTCCTTCTGGGTTTCAGTTCTTAACATGTAATTTACTTGTGTGTGGCCCTGAAAAGTCAGTTTCACAATAACAGTCCATTGTTACAGGATTTGGGAATTACCATTGGTGGTATTTGTGTTTATATAAAAATATCATTTATTTTCTTTCTGTCAGCTTTCACTTTGAGCTAACTCTACTGTATAGAACATATTTCAGCAGATGAAAACACATAGGTTGATGGAGCAACTAGCGTTCCCAGTCTGTAGCTGTGTGTCACAGAGGATGGTGATTTAGCATATTACTGCTGGTTTGGCTGAGATCTTGACCGTTGGGCTGAATTATGGCAGAGTTTGCAGAATGAACCATTGTGCTGCTGCCTGTTTACTTTAGGATCTGTATGCATAAATACAGAAGCAAAGCAGGAAGGGAGCGGAGAAATGAAGGCTTGGGGAGACAACAAAAGCACCAGTACAACAGGCACATCTGCCAAAAATAGAAAATGTAAATAAGGAAATTCAAAGTTTCAAAGGACTGGAAAAGAGTGTTCGCCTTGCAAAGAGGTGCTCAAACACAATAAACGGCATGCAAGTGTCACTTTTATATCTGAAGCATTTTATTACAACAGTTTTTCCGAGTCAGTATTTCTGAAGTGCCAGGTGTTGTGTTTGCCAAAGACCTGAAAGGTTTTGTTCTGACTTCAACTCTCCTCTCCTAGCAGCAGGCAGGTCTGGGGAGGCCGATCATTACAAACAGTCCTGCAAAAGTTGCAAGGCATATTTTTAACTTGGCACAAACAACCAAGATTGTTAAACCTTTTCATATCACAAACAGCAGAGCTTGAGCTGGTTGGATATGGATGTTATGTGTGAATGAATTTAATCTCTACCTGAATAGATCAGGGGGCTTCATTCCCTGTCAGTTCAACACTTATATTCTGTCTGTACACGGTGAAAGTCTGAGCTGTGATCAGTTGTAGGAGTTAAAGTTTGGATTGTATGTAATGACAACTGATTGAAGCTGGTTAACCAGTTACTGAGACTCGTGTCTCCACCCGTTTGGCTTTTATTCTGAATCAGCTTCATTTTAACTTTTTACTAACAAAACTGAGCACACATGATTAACATTACTCACTTCAGCACTTTTTAGAACATATCCATCAGTTTACCCCCCACTCTTGTATTGTCAGAGCTTCTTTTGCCTTAATGTTATGTGAATCACTACTGCCCTCTAGTGTTCAAATGGATCATGTGCATAGTGAGAAGCTTTCATATCTCCTCCAGAAATGGCATGTTTCTGTTTGGAGAACAGAAAATAGTCAATTGTATAAGGCAGAAGAGTTTGAAAGTGTGTTTTCTCAGTCAACATACATTCCATTCCACATGACTCAGGTTGGATATCAACTGAATTTAAACTTTCTCATTTGTTTAGTTTTAGCGTGCTTTAACAAAGAATTACAGTGCTTTGCAAAGTATTATTACCCCTTAAACCTTTTCATGTTATCGGAACCTTGTAATGGATTTTATTGCTGTTTAATGTGATAGACCAACACAAATTGGTGCATCAGTTTGGAAATGCTTAAATATAAAAATCCATAAAGTATAGTTAACATCTAGGTCCAGTCTCACTGAATAAGTACAACCACCTGTTGCAACAAACACAGCTCTAAGTTTTGGGGTTTGCACATCTACAGCCCAGCAGTATCAAGTCTTAAGAGTTATCACAGCTCCTTGATTGGAGTTAGGCCTGGATTTTCTCTTGGCCACTGTCAAATACGGATATATTTGAATTAAAAACATTTCATTGTTCCTGGATGGTGAAGTCTAAAGTCTTTTACAGCCTCTAGTAGTTTTCTTCCATGAAGTCACTGTATTTAGCTCCATCCATCTCTGATCAGCTTCCTTGACCCTGCTGAAATACAGCATCTCCACAGCATAATGTTCCTACTACCATCATGCTTCATAGTAGAGTTGTTATATTCAGGGGGATTGGGGCAGAGAAAGTTTTCCACCACATTTACTGTGGCATTTAGGCCAAAGCACTCTCTTCCATGCGTTTGCTGTCTTCATTATATGTAGCAAACTTCAGCACTCTTCCATAAAGGCCAGATTTGTGGTGTGGATGACTAGTTAGAATAATTATCTGTGTTGACAGATTCTCCCAGCTGAGCCACAGTTACTAAGGCCCTCTTGACTGTTTCTCTCATAAGTGCTTTTTTTTCTGTTGATGTAGCTGCATGAAAGGCTTGTCCTTGTCGTTGTGACTAACTTTGTGTTGTTCTTTTGCATAAGGTTTGCAACCTCCATTTGTGGTTTTGACTTGAAAAAGTTCAAGGACTGAATGCTTTTGCAAAGCACTGTAGAAACAAAAAAATCTTGACCGGTGTTCATTTTTTACAATTTTCCTGTACTGCCAGCAACATCTTATGTCAAGCATTAGATTTATCTGTGATATTAAGAGTTCTTCACTGCCAGACAAACAGAATGTAATTGTTAGGATCCTAAAAAACATCTAAACACTTTTGTTGGTTGACTTTGCAATAATTTGGATCCCATTCCTGCAATTTAAACTGCACTCATCGTTCGCTCAGTGGATTAGAAATATAAAGGGTCTAATATTATAACCTTATCAGTCTTAGTAGAAAAAAAAATACTTCTAAGATGTCAAAACTAGTCTTCCTCTGGGTGCAATACAGACTTTTCCCAAAGTCCTGGTTGTAGTTATGATTCTGCTTGTGCTGGTCCAAACTGAAAATGTGTCCATTTCTTTGTAAATATTTCTTTTTTCTTTGTGTTAATAGGTGGTAAATTATGTTCTCCTGTTTTCTGTCTTGTGTTGCTTCAACCTCATGTGACCTGATTGTGTAACCCTGTTTATCCAGATCTGTGCTTTGTGTTCATGTAAATATGGTGTTTGTTAATAATAATAATAAAAAAAAATCATGCTCTTTTAAAAGTCTTGGGAGTTATTTTAGGAATGTAATGATGACAGTGCACAAGTGAAACCGAAAATTTTTATTGAATAACATTATAAAACCAGCACTCCTTAGTTTTTTTAATTCACTGAAGATTACAGGCAGCGCAAATTCAAGGGGAAACTGGAATACCAGTGAAGTGGCAGTTTTTAACTACAGCCTTAAGACATAAAAGCACGAACACTGCCTCTGATGACAGCTCTGCAGATGGGGCAGTGACGCAGGCTGGCGGCACAATCGCCACAAACCACCAGGTGACCACAAGGGATGAAGACGATGGATACCAACTTGTCCATGCAGACTTTACAGGTTCTCTCCTCCTGCAGCTGCCTGAGCAGCTCCTCGGGACTTTGATCCTTTACTGGTGAAAAACACAAATGAAAAAGTTCAATTGTTTGGAGAAAAATCTGTGACTAAAACATCAAGATAGGTAGAACAGTGAAAAAGCAAAAAATAAAAAGCCAATTCATTATAATATGATTTTACAATCATGCAGACCTCTCTTTGGAATTGGTGTCTCGGTCCTCGTGTTTCCTGCACTGGATCCCAGGCTTCTTTCTTGCTCTAAATTGAACAAATTTAAGACACAACATAAACAGCTTTCATTAAAATTGAGTGTTTAATTTTGCAGATGGTCAACGTTGTATTTCTACATTATTTTACTCATTTTAAAATAATTCTGAAGTTGAAATTCTCCTTTCCAAAAGTCCACTTTATTTAAATTTGATGCAAAATCAAATATTATATATTTGTAATAATGTTTATGCACAGCAGACATGATTTTTAAACCAAAAGTTGTGAGATTGTGATGTTTAGTTTGTTGCAAAAGTCTGAGCTGATGCTCTTTATTTTCTTTCCCAAAAGGTTTCTAATTCAATATCAATGGGCTGCCTTGCATAAGCTTCTTGCTAGAGGTTTAGAAGAAGACAAAGATGCCTTGGTTGGGGAAAGCTATGTCAGGTCCTTCAGTTTATACATCCTATCACACTGCGAGTATTAATGTGTTTTCTCATTTTGGATTTTGGCTGGATTTTTGCTTCTCAGAAGAATGATCGGCTATGAAGAAGGTCTGATCTTGTCTTAATATATTTTTACTTTCTCTTGAGGTGGTTTTAATGACATTCAAAATATGCATTTCTGTTATTGAAACTCATAATTACTACTGTTTATATAACACTCCATATTAGTTGAAAAACTTTATGCTGTAGACGTCTAGAGCCTGCTAAGTTTCCCTGAAGCAACCCCATAAGCAGATGTCAGAAAAGGTATTCCAGTTTTCTATTGCTAAAATGTTTTGATTAAAATTGCATCTTTAACTTTATTGGAGATTAATTGCACTTCTCGACTTTCAGTCTTCTCGACTTTCAGTTGGCAGAATATATCTACATTTTTTTAATTTGTACTAGTTCTGATTGCACGGGTCAACAAAAATAAATGTCAGAAGTAGCAACTTGAAGGGGGAACATATTTTTAGAATATATATTGTTTTGCTCAAAAAGATGGGATTTCAACAAAATCATCAGTGAATTTGCAGAACTCTGAAAAATCCATCCAAGTACAACAGTATTTTCTATAAATAGTAACATGTCTCTGTTCAACAACAGAGTAAGAATAAGCTAAAAAAGAAAAATCAATTACTCATATAAAACAAGGCCAAATCTCCAAAAGCACAGTAGTCTGGTAAATATTTCAGGATGTTTCCATCTCTGTTACCTCTGCTGTTTGGCCCTGCCTGCCTGTCCTCCTCTTCTGCTTGCAGAACATCAGTAACCAGCTCAGACACTGAGGTGTAGTACTGGCCTGTCAGCAGATACTTGGTCTGAACCAGACTCTCCACCACGCCGGCTTCAAACCCCATCTGCAGCACAGTCTGCACAACAGGAGAGAGCATGGCTGATGAAGCTCCCAGACCTCCGACCATATCTAAAGAGTAAGACAGTAGGAAAAGAGAGGAAAGTGACTTCAAACTAGAGACCGAATACCATACTGGCTTTGCACACGACCTGACACATTAGATGATACGATATCACACAAAATCGGGATAGATCGAGGAAGAGAAAAACAGAAAGCGTTCACCTTACTTTTTCGGTAGCAACATATTAAATATTTTTTGCTGGAGTACTGTTCTGTATGCCTGCAGAAAATCTGATTGTTATGGCACTTTCTTCATTTCATGCAATGACTGTGTGACTGCACTCAGTTAAACACCCTGTAAGGCATTTAACAGTTGCAACAGTCCTTTTTGGGTGTTTATTTTTTATTTTTTATTTTTATCATGTTTCTGAAAGCAACATAAAAGAAAATTAACCTAGTTTATGACAAATCAATTTTACTTTAAGGTTAATTTGAGGCTTAAAACAGAGATTGTGCAATACTTTTTGTCAGCCAGAAAAGCAACAACCTGTGAAGTTGTTGCTTTAAATAATCAAGAAATTTAAATAAAAAAGACATGTTGAAACTTTGAATCTGGGATCAGACAGTAGGGCCACCATGTGTTTTTTTTTTTCTTTTCTCTCCATTAATACATGATTTTTGTACCATTTTCAATCTTGGTAATACTTACCATTTCTGCCACCATCATCTCTGCCTGTGGACATCTGTGATCTTCCCTGGAAGCCAAATTTTTGTTTTTCAATTACAATGAATTAAATTAGTTATTTAAGTCAATAAATAACAAACAGGGATTTATACACAAGTCTAATGCTTTCATTTATCCATGTAGTTTCAGGCATTATTAATTAAAGGGATATGACTCTTACCATAGTATCACCCAGGTGGAAATGAGCATCCTGGATGTTGCTGATGTACTCCTGCCCTCGTGACTGGATTAAAAACTCACATCTGAGGAACGTAAGAAGGTTGCTTTTAAGATAGGCAACAGGTATGGTCCCTTAAAAAATCCCAGCGGGAGGCTTAATTTTAAAGTCAAAGGGAAATAGCACATTTAAAAAATATATATAAAAACTTGAAAAACGTGATATGCTTTTGTATTCATTCCCTCTCATTCTGATTTTCCTAAGTTAAATCAATGTACCAAAACATGACCTTCCATCTAAATTGTAAGGCTGGGAAAGAAGAGGATTAATCACTAATTCAGCCAAAAGCCCTGCCTTATCCTCGAAGAGATTTCAGAGATCTGCTGTTCGGATGGGAGATTCTGATGACAGAATAACTTGTTAGTTGTTCCCTCCTCAAATCCAGGCTTTATGGGCCACGAAGATGAAAGAAACCTATCTGAAGTCTCATTTCTGCCACAAGGCATGTAGGAGACACAGAAAATGTGGTGTGGGTGCATGAGATCAAAATGTTTTCGGCTGAAATGCAATATGACAAGTGGAGCAAATCTTACAGTAGACATAACACTGAACACACCGTTCACACAATGTCACATGATGTTGGCAGAATTATTGATTTATGAGCAGTGGTTAAATCTTATAGGTGTCATTGTGTATAATAAAAATACACAATATTTTCTCATCTCACTGATACAGCCCTCTTGATACCTTGGAAACCACTTGGCATGTTCCTGCCAGGGGTCGTCCCCTGGCTCCCAGTTCCTCAGTCCTCCATCACAGAAGAAGCATTTGACATTGTCACCATGACCTGAGATAAAAAAAAAATTCTTTAGACCAAGTTTGATTGAACAAAGACTCGCTAGATTTTCTAGCTCTGACTAAACTTTCAAGCTCTTATAGATAAAAAAAAAAAAAAACTCTTCTGTTATCTGTATTTCTAATACAATCCGAATAGAACTGCTTTCTGGTTCAGATTGTCAAAGAAATGTATCTCAAGAACCAACGGCTGCATTTATTATATAAGTAAAAATGTATTCAAAATTTCTGACCCTGCCTCTCCCAATCTAGAAGACAGTAATAGGAATGACAGGTTTGTTTTAAATGTTTTTTAATATTTTATCAATTTGAGTTCTCACTCTATGTTGCCTAGCAGCTCCTGTTTTGTCCAGTTTGTTCTGTTCACAACATCCTGACTCAGCTGGAACTATTGTAGCATGAACTCTCACATAGAGGAGGTCACTGCAGCAGTCAACATCTACTGAAACCTTCTAGTGGATGCTTATTTTTTGCCCGAAAACTCCTAAGGAAAGGAGCTCCTTGAAAATGTTCTAGTTTAGTACTTCTGATAGGGAATTGATAGTAAGTACCTGTGTAGAAAAACCCTGCTTGGGCCAGAACATCTGGCTGCACCAAGGCTTCAGTGGGCCAGTTGTGGAAAGTGGTAAGTCGAGAGTCCTCTGTCTCCATCTCGGGGTATACTGCTTGTCCAACTGTTCCCTGATCATCCATAGTCATCCTCTGAAGCTGACTCAACAGCTGGCCATCCACAGAGTCTGAGGAGCCCACCGCCAGTGGAATATTCCCCACAGTTCGACCCTGTATGAAGCTGCAAGTAGGGAAATGACGCTTATGTTCAACGGCTGGGCTGTCACCCTGCTCCCAGAACCTTAAAACCCCTCCACAGCAGAAACACTGGACTTTGTCCCCAGAACCCAGGAAGAAGAAGCCCATCTTAGCCAGGTCTCCTGAAGCCACGGGTGCATCTGCAGGCCAGTTCTGGAAGGTCCGAAGTCTCTCCACTTCCTCCCGCATCCGAGGCTCCTCAAGGATGTGCAACATAGTACCCCTGTCATCCGACATTCTGCAGCATGTGGGCTTTTCTCTCTCGTTTTGTCCTGTGCCAGTCAGCCCTTTCGCGGTCCATAGTGGAACACACACTGAAGGTGAGTGCCGAACAACACCTGAAATAATATGATGAGCAGCGGGGTCCTGTGCAGCAGCCTACATGAGAAAGTTTTCTAGAAAATCCTCCAACTGCCAGAATGTACGCTCATTGATCCTTGATTGAATGACACGCCATGCCTGTCCTATGGCTCCACCTCATGGGGAGAAGAAAAGAACACAGTAAACTAATATAAATTAGTTCATAATTGTAAAGAGAAAGGAAAAGAAAATATGTTTTTCAAAAGTGGTGAATAAAAATCTAATGAACATGAAAAATTGTTTTTCATGTATGTGTGTGGTTTTGGCTCAACTGCGTTTGTGTTTATGAGACAAATAAAATAAGGACCTCATGGGTCTTGATGACATAGTTTTAGACTTAGAAAACTGCTCTCCTCCGATTACTATCATTTGACATTTAATTGGACTTCAGAATTATTCTGCCTTCAACCAAAGACTCCCTGTGATTTGCAATTATGCATATCGTGCATATGTATAAGATTTATTTACTCAAAAATTGCATCCAGATCTGATAATTGCACATGAGATGATTAATGATCACTGTGGCCATATTTTACCATGTGTCATTTTCCACACAAGTCTCACATGAGCTGATCTTTCTGATATAAGAGGGCCTGCAGGAAACCACAGTCGGCTGACATCTCCTGGCCTTGCTTGCACTCAGATACTGCAGAAAAAACAAACAAAAAAAAAAAAACACTAAATACTGCACGCAACACGGTTGAGCAACAGCTCAGCTGTGTGCAATAAAATACACAATTAAAGTGACGAGTAGAAATAGACTTCACAAAAAATATTTTTAACACTACTCGTGTGCAACACTTCTAAAACTACCATAAATTGTATTATCTTTACATTTATATATATATATATATATATATATATATATATATATATATATATATATATATATATATATATATATATATATATATATATATATATATATATATATATATATATATATATATAGCCTGATTTTGTTATTGTTTGTTACTTATTTGAATTGTTGTCATTTCCTTAAAATGCCCACATTTCCTCTTAAAGTTATATTTTGGTCCATTTAATGGTTCAATTTGTAAATATTAAATGACTGATAAGTTGATCATTTACTCAGTGCTTGAGTAGACTTTTTGCCAAAATACTTTTTTTACTCTTTAATTGTAAATTTTTGGATGTCTATTCGTTTTACCTTTACATGAGCAAAATATATTGAAATGGTGCTACTCTTATTTGAGTACAATTTCTGGGTACTCTCCCCACCTCTCCTAAGAGCAACAGTGGGGGGAGGGGGGAGCATGTTTTGATAAAACAACATTAACATGAAGCATAATCTGTTGAAAAAAAATGTAAATCTCGGGATTTGGGGTTTGTCATTGGCTGTAATGATCAAAATGAATATATGGCGCTGAATGTAATGGAGATTACCAGTCCGAAATTATTCCAGTTCATTGATATGCGCTTGGATTTGTATTATCTCAGGCTTCTGTGGTTATTGGAGAAGATGCTGAAAGTTTTGCCACCCCGCGGGGGAGGACGTGCATTACAGCGACAGCTCAGAGCCCGGATGGAGCAGCCATTGGGGAAGTGTGCGGGGCTTTAACGTAACCGAGGAGTGCTCTCTCTGTGGAATTAAAAAAAGAGACTAAGTGAGAGGCGAACAGAGACATAAATATCTAAGATCCACAAGGTGCCACACGACGAGACGCGCTTAACCTCGGAAAAGCCGAACTCGGACTGGAAACCTTTGGGATACAGAATCCGTGGCGTCTGTCTTGAACTGTGGAAGTTGGGAGAATACTCAGCTGAGCCTGCGCTACAACTACTAGCCATAAGCTAAGCGGCGCTGTTAGCCCCGAAGCTAACTCCAACTGAGCTGTGAACTTGCTTGCAAATCACGGGGGTTGAAATTCAGTCACAGGCTCAGGCTCCGTGAGAAAATCAGGGACTTGCTTAATGAATTATGTCTACCACAAGCATTGACCCTCAGGTATGAATGACGACTTATCTCGCCAGTTGAGAGCTTGCGAGCTAACTACCTGCTAACGTTATCGATTTATTAGGCTATGGCTAGTCCTCGGAAGTGCTAGCTAGCCATTAGCGTTGCCATGTAGCTTGCGAGTTGGCTGCATTCCGTGAAAATTACCGAGGGTTTTATTGACGTTTAAGAGAGATGACATCTGCAGCTCTGCATGCATCACGTTGTCAGATGTATCTTTTACAGAAATCGTGTGTTTTGCAAGCTACACAGCTGCAAAAATCCCACCACTTGATTTGGTAAAACCTAAAGCTAGTTAACGTAAACAAATTTACATAATGGCATAAGATAACTTGCTCTTTAAACAGTAACTTTTAGTGGAATGTGTTTCTGTGTCTTTACCGAGAGAAATACCCTCTGGAAAATATGTATTCATGTTGCTTTAAGAACCACTGGCGTTTAGAAAGCCATTTTAAGGTTGCTGTGATGTAGAAGTTGTTACTGAAGTCTGGCTAGCATTAGCCGGCTAGTTGACTTGAGATGTTCAGAAAATTCTATAATATTCATTACTGCTGACAGTAACCCACCCTAAGCATCGTGTTTGTCCACTACAGATTACGTTTTATACATCATATCCTGCATAGTCTCTCTAATGACAGTGGAAGACTGGTGTCATGAATATTGATCATATCAATAGTACATGTTCTTGATATAAAGTCTTAATTACTAAAAATAACATCGTTTCTTGTTTTGTTTTTCTGGATCAACCCAAACACAGAGATCAAAAGGACAAGCGTCTAAAGGTAAGTGGTGACACGATTATATTAATGTGGCAGCCCTATTTAGTTTGCCAAATAATACAAGTATTTTTTTTATTTTAATTACTTTTTTTTTTAGAATTACAATAATGTATTTAAAATTTGTCAAAGTGGTAATGGACATATTTTCTGTATGAAAGTACAAATAAAAAAAATTATCTAAATCAGTATGTTGACAGCACTTGGAGTTGTCCACTGAAATTAATCTAAAAGCAAAAATAAGCTTTTCAATCATACCAAGATCATGTATCTGAAAAGCTGAAATTTTAGGGTGATTTATGCCTCTCAATTTCTATTCTAACAAGTGATAATTTGTCACTTAAAAATAATATTAAAAAAATGCTTTTTTTTTTTTTTCCTTTTTGTTTCAAAGTAGCTTTATTCAGACTTTTAACATACATTTTTAAAATGTGGTTTTAGTAGTTAATCACACGATTCATTGACTTTCACACATTTTGTTCTGCTCAAAGATCAAATTTGCTAGTGTGAAATATAGTTTAGTTATAAAAACAGTAGTAGAGAGCGTTTCCCCTAAAACCAAAAATACATTCCTTTCCAGAAAAAATATAATGGGTTGAGCTAAAATGAAACTAAATTATCTGAGGGAATCTGTACCTGGCCCGAGTTAATTATGCATCTGCCCGTCTATCAAATCAAATGTGTTTAATTGATTTTTAAAAATGATACAAATCTCAAGGCAGATCCTGCATATACCATGGCTTTCATTATCAGAAATGGGAGGGCATGAAAACGAATTGCATTCTGGGCATTTCTGTTTTCACTGAAAAATCTCCAAGCTTTAACCTGCAATAACAAATTGTTTTTGAGGGGGCGTGAAGCCAGGAGCACAAACAGGAGCCACAGAACATACTTTATTAGACGCACACGTAAAATGTTTACCATATGTTAGTATTTTATGATATATCCTAATGCAAGTTTTTTTGTTTTATCAAAGAAATTGAATATTTATGGCCTTTATTGTAGTATTTTTTGTTAACGGGAACTATTTTGTTAAACTATTTTAATTAATTATACTACATTAATTTATGAGTTTGTTAAGTGGACAGAGAGTGGTAAGAGGGCTGTTGTAGATAAATAAAGTATCACAATATACAACCACACAGTAAATAGATATATACATTTTAATTTAGTTTTATGTGTTTTTCTTCTCAGAAACGAGCTGTTAGATTAGATTATAGTTAAAACGGTAGTCAGTTTTTGCTCACATGCTTTGTAGGATGTCATATTTTATCATTTTATTATTAGGATTATTCAATTTGAATGTGTCCTACTGAAGCAAACCTTTTAATCTGATTATGTGTGGCATTATCTCTTTATGGGCTAAATTATAACCAATAATTTGTTGCTCTTCATTATGATAATAAGTATTGGAATTTTAACATTGTTTATATGTTGTTAATGTAGTAGAGGGTTAGTTAATTTGACATTGTGTATATTAAGTCATAATAGGGTAAAACATCTGAGACTTAAATAATTGTCAGATGAATCTTGATATTTATGTGTAATATTTGTATCTGTTTTTGCTTATGCAGAGTTGTTTTGGAGGTTCTGTAATTTTATAGCATCACAAGTTTGTGATACCTTTAAAATTAATATTTTTTTTGTCTTTTGGCAAAGACAAAAAATGTTGCTGATAGCATATCAAAAATAGTTTCACCTCGTAGTAATGTGATGTGGTTATTTCAGTTGCAAAGAAACAATAAAAAATCATTCATGTGCTGCATGCTTTGTTAGAAGCACCCTGTGTCTTCATGGGGTGCTAAATAACCTTCTCTGCCATACCTCATTTAAAACATCACTCCATCTGCCATCATTGTAAATTCAAATTTGCTTCTTTTTTGTATTTTTGTTATGTTTGCAGTGCAAAATGGTTCACTGCATCAGAAGGAGACTGTCCATGACAATGACTTTGAGCCATACCTTCCTGGTCAATCTACTCAGGTAAATCATACTTTCAGTGTTGTTGGGGTTTTTTTCTGGTTATTTTCATTATGAAATCTCACAGCATAATAACTGTGAGCTGATAATTCTTCTGCTTTAAGATTTATTCAAAACAGTCATTTTGCTTACATGTCAAAACCAATAGACACCACAAGGTTTCCCCCGGAAACTGCTAAGCTGAGTGGTAGGGGAACATTTGGTTAAAAGTTATAAACATTCAGAGATGCACGAGCAGACATCATAATTTGAAATAATAATG